TAACCATGATCTTCCAGTGGATTTTTACCATTTTAGATCGTATTCAATTAATTATTCTTAGGCATTTTGTATTGTCATCATTATATTGGCAGACAAGTAGGAGACTATATGCATACAGTAATATTATTCTTTATTCTCAAACGATAGTAAATTAGAATAGTTGGCTAACTTTTTATAGCTGATTATGAGGAGTATCATTAGAGCCTTGATACTGTAGTGTGTTGATTCAACTATTGCAGTCTAGTTAATCAACTCTTGCCTTGTTTTCTCCTTTTATAAAACTTACCGTGACTTCTTTAATGATAATTATGTAATTCTCATGGAAGTGGAGAGAGAAAATAATAAGAATACTTGGCTCAAGGTTGTATTGATAAATAGTTAAACCGATAAATTACCCAGGGGCGATAAATTCAAGTTTCGTTTCGTTAAATCATTGTCAAGAATTGACTTTGTTCCATTTTACTCTTCTAGGAAAAAATTTCGCGTTACTTGTATTAATTATTATATAATTCTAGCGGAAGTTAACACAGGGAAATGGGTAATTATAAAGTTGTAGTTGGATCAGTTTTTATGACACTACTATTCATACAAGGAATAAGTAAAGCATGAGTTTAAACTGTTCCATTACCTCACGGCAGATTCTAGTTTCATTTCCATAATGATTGACAAACATAGACTAGATATTACAACGTTAAGTTGATTTTCCAATATTTGAATAATAATCAATAGAATCATGAGTAGCTAGTTGATTATTTCAGCAGTGTAATAAGAGTTCAAACGCAGGAGTTATATTAAACTTTGATCAAGGCTTATCATTCTGCTTCCACCACGGGTAAATGACAAGTGATCCCATTAGTACTGGTGAAGATTGATTAATTGATTGATTACGTTGCAATAACTTTCAAATTAATTTAAATTTTTATCCCTAGATAAGACGGCGAAAGTATTTTGTCCCTTACTTAACTAATGATTTAATTATGGCTAAATCTTTGTTATCCTACTCGGTATAAGTTTTATGTGCATTATTAAATTATCCCGTGGAATTAAAAAATCATCAACAATGCATTCAATTTCTCATAACATGGAGACGACCTAGACTGCCTATTCTGTTCATCAAGATTGGAAGTACAACAGAAAATAGGGAGTTTGATGGCGTTTCAAACTGATCTACTTTTTTATTGTTATTTCTTAACGATCTCTTAATTAAAGAGGAGACAGCAAAGGAAATGAATTAAAGAGGAGACAGCGAAGGAAATGAATAACATAGTTTTTTATTTCTCATATCCGCATTAATTTACTCTGTCTTAGCTATCGGGCAACAGCCATATACAATATGCTTTCTCTAAAATAAGTGCAATAAAAAAATAAGAAACCGTGAAGAAAATGAATAACAAAGTTGCATCCATATCATTTTTATTTTTTTTTTTTGCAATAGCATGGTAGTCTTACAATTATATGATATAATTTAAATGCAGTAGGTCATATTATTTTTCTTTCAATAATATCATGATAGTCGTATATTTTATTATCCGATAGAAAATGATCAAAAGACGTCTTTGTCATGATCCATTCTTGCTTGCCTTTACTATTTTCTGATAAGCAATGGCATAAGACTTGATCAGCATCAAGTGTTTATCCTGTGGTACTACTATTCCAATGTTGAAATATTTCCTTATAGATTGTATTGATATTCGTTTGGGGATTTTACTTAACCCTCAATCATACTGGCAGTAGAAACGTCAAGACTATGGCGCCATTGATTTGCATTACTGTTGCCAACAAATAATTACATTTATCTCCTTGTCGTCATCATTCTTTTACCATGTTTTTCTATAAAATGAACAACATGGTTATTGTCCGTTCTGTTACATATTGAAAAAAGAATTATTTCTGCCGATAACATTATCGTGTAAGAAAAAACCCAATTAAGGATTACCCCATAGAAAATATCAAATTCGATATTTTTAAGTTAGGCTGTAAAATTCCCCGCCGTAAAGGGTGATGATCCTCCAAGGAAAAAGATACTCTACTAGAAGGACATTAAGTTTCACATTATGATGCAATAACATGGCGAGTTAATCGATTGACATGCTATAAGAATAGAATCCATTGGAGTATATATTGAAAGACAGCCAAAAAAATAAAAAGTCAATCAAGAAGCAAAATTTTCATAGACAATAGTTGTAAAAGTTTCAGACATGCTTGAGCCACATTGAAAATTTTTCACTGCTTTGCTAATTGTTATGAAGATAAAAAACAGTCCAAATTTCTTTGTCTTGTCTACTATCATGCAGAGCGATGCTAACTGTAGGGAATCCATTGATATGATCATCATAACATAGGGGAATATCGGTTTAAAATATATTTATCCCAAATCGTAGATATTCAGCATGGTCTAAGGCTGATACATAGTAAAGCTATCTCCATTTTTCTTAGCTTTTAAACTTTATTCCAGGTCCAGTACAAGTGGGGGCGAGATGAATTGCCATTTAAATTGACACGACAATATTATTTTAACCCGTGCCAACGATTTCTAAAGTGTAAACTCATTATACTTATATCAATTGTCACCCATTTCAATATGTTCTTATTGAAAATCTAGAACTGTTGTCGCGAGTAGTAGTATCCATTTCAGTCTTGGACTTATTTTCTTGTCATAAAGAGCCCAATCATAGCCTTGACTATGATATCCCATTTAATTTTAATTCAGATTGTAAACAGGACTTTTTTTCTCTCCTTTACATCTGCTTAATCGTTGCACAGAACTCCTTTAAATCGTAACCAATATTCATCTTCCTCGCCTGTTATGACTACTACATTAGTAAATTCATTCTCAATACGAATTCGTGAATTAATTGTAGTAACTTCTAATATTCTTAGATCTCTTAGTTTTACTTCGTTATTCTACACTAAATATTGAACAGGAATCTGTAAATTAATGATAGTGGCTACTAACGTTATTAGATCTTCTTTCAGTATTAGCTGAAATAGGTAGTTTTACAAAGCTACTTTACGCTAAATATTGAACACCAATCCGTGTACTAATTGTAGTTATAATTAGTATTCTTAGATCTATTTTCAGTCTTAGATGAAATTAGTAATTTCATTTCGTTATTTTACACTCAATGTTGAATACGATTCCGCGAATGCCATATAAAATGTTGATTGAGTATATATATAGTGTTAAAATCATATCGCCTAATTGACTTTCAGTCTTGGATCAAATAGGAGTCGTATTTTGACTGTTATTTGATTCTAGCAATAGAGCACGACTCCATTAAAGCAGTATAAAATCTTTATTGACCAATTGTCACTTCTCTAAATATTGTGTGTAGAATTGTACTAGCTACGATTATCACTCAACTGAATTTTACTCCTAACCCAGACTCCTGAACTAATTCCTGATTGTAAAGGAATCTAATGGTCTTTTGCGACCCTCTTAAGTACGACCTAAAACAACGATTTTAAAATACTATAGACAATTGTGACTATTCATTGTCAAAAAGTAACTGCATCTTTTCAAGTCTGCGAAAGAATCTGAATATTTACAATTTGTCTGATTCCTATTTTATACAAGCTGTGAAACTTTCCATTAATTATCATTCTTATACTAAATGTACAAAATAGATAAATCTGACTTAGCTTTAAGAATACAAAAATCAATCATCATCGTTTTCAATCTACTTGTAACTATATCATTGTACAAAACAATTCAGAAAATAATCTTTCAATGTTATTCGTATCGCTTTGGCTTAATGGATGGCTGCCGTTGTTTTTTTGCTGACCCCCTACCTTTACCCTTTGACCATTTGTAATAGCTTCTAAACACGTGATGAGCTCCAAGAACAACATGGAGTGCATCCTACGTTACTAGGCTAACGCAGAGTCGGCCACTAAAAGCATTAACTAGTCAATATTTTATGACGGTATATCTTGTGATATATAAATTAAACTATCTAGAACGATATTTCAACTACATTTCCTCTGCGGTAAAGGCATTAAATCATGATGTTGTTTAATATTGTTGAAATCAGGGAAAATAATAATATTATAAAAACAATTGCTAGCAATTTTTACTACGAGCCAAATGTTTACTCTTACTATTCTATAGAAAATGATGAAAAAATTATGTCTATCAAAGTGTAAAATAACTATTTCTAATCGTGACCTTATTTGCCCACGATTAATTTTAATATCTGTTCGATAGGTTAGTATTAAATTTCAGGCTGAGATAAAGTTTGACGAAAGTTAAATGACTTTTTTTCTCTTGAGCTGTTATTATGTAAAAATAGGGATACGGGATGGCCTAATACATCGAGTAGAAAAGTTTATATGAAATTATCTATGGAATGGAGTTAGTTTAATGTTATCTAGAGTTAATGGAGCTAATGATATTAGCGTGATATATCTGAGAATTTTATCGAGTAAGCTTGACTTTTACAGACCGCTTTTCAACGCTATGATTAATTACGACACATACTATACTCATAGAATGACCAAAAAGGGATAGACAGTATACGAATTTTCTAGCGATATTTTTGAGACTGTATTACTTTTCCACGTAGGTGAGATATATTACAATAGCATAATAACAACTAAATTCTACCCACATATTGAATAAACTTCATTACAAGCAGCCCTTGTCTTATGATCGAGCTATTACAGTACAGTATCTGTTGAATTGAACAAAAAATGTGTAGAATTATTCTAACCAAATCATTTACCTTCTTTTCGATTCTATTAAGTGTGCACAATTATATCGAACAGAATTATTCTAACCCTATCATTTACATTCTTTTCCATTTTATTAACTATATGAAATGACATAATATAGATTTAATCTAACGCAATCATTTCTTTTCTTTCTCTTTTTATCAAATGTGTAAAATTATATCAAAACAGGTTTATTCTAACGTTGTTATTTTCTATCATTCTATTTATTACCAACAGAAATCAATGCTATTGTTTATAACAACCCATCTTATACTAACTATGCAAGAATGGCCTACGATTCAGGTCGCAGGAAGTTAATTGTTGGAGCAAAGTAAGTCAATGATCAATTAAGTACGGTTGCTCAATCCTATTGACTAACTTCCTAGGTTGATCGCCTCCATTAAATCATAACGATTGAATAGGTCTAAAAAATGGATCAGCAATGATCCCTTTATTCGCATTTTAACCTTTGTGAATATTCTAATCGTCTTTTAGAAATGCTTTCGTTAGCTTGGATACATCGGATATATCACTATCACCAAGGGTAAGCCAGGCTATTTTACTAGAATTGGATCTATTGCGATATTAACTCTAGCATCAAATAGTGCTCTACCTTTGCAAAAATGGAAAGCTTGACCTTTAGACGCTCATACAATGACCATTTATTTTTCCTATAGGTGTATCCTGTACCTGTTAATCAAGCAATTAAATCAACTTGCACAAGCGCAAGACCGACGGTAAATTATTAGACAGACAGTAAATAAAGTTATTTATTGTCTATAATCAGCAATATTGTTTTTACGTCGCTCATTGGACGATAGTTAATTAGAAAGAAATGAGATAACGTCTATTTTTTATCGTCCTTTCTACGATTGCAGTTGAAAAGCATCTTACTCTTTTAATGCAATTTCAATCACGATAAAAATCAATGTCATTAATTGAAGATATAATAAGGAACGAAAAGTCGTTCTATTCGATACAGCTAATAGGAAATAAAATCCAGACAAAATTAATTATACAACACTTATACATTAATTGATATTAAATATTCTTCTAAGCTCTAAACGGTTATTTATCTAATTAGTTTATTACATATTTGTTTGCAGAAAGTGCAACAATGCGAAAATTTCGTCCGTGTCTTACTGGTCCATGATGATACCTTATTAGTTTGTGGTACGAACGCCTACCAACCCATCTGTCAAAATCGATCGGTAAGAAAAATGTCAATAAAGGAATGAATTAATTTGGTGGTAAACAAAACTATAAATAGCACGCTATTAATTTAAAAAATTCCCGGACAAATACATTTTGCAGACATTCATTTGACTTTTAAAAATCTACGCAGACACTTTAAAAATATTCATAAAGGATTAATTAAATTAGTTAGTTTAAGTGAGTATAACGTTTGGTATACTGCGATTTTACACTATCAAAATCGACTTGAAGTAATAGTCTTGATATGCAATGAAATTCAGACTTTAAATGTTACTGTGTATCAATTATCGTAGTTTCCTGGCAGCGATGATAAATTCATATAGATATCAACATATCATAACCTTAATCCATAGATAATGTCGATATACAAAATCCTGAGAGATTTTGCTTAACAATTCGCTTCTAATTTAAATAGAAAATAGAGGTAATTTTAACCGTAGTGTATAGTGTAAAAATTTTAGCTTGGCTGTAGAAAATCCTACAAATGTAGTTCCCCAATCATCAAGAAATGGAAATTATGGCCTTAAGATATTGCATTTCGTTAAATGTAATGGCTGTAGTAAAATAGATATTTTTCAAGTATAAATCAAAGTTGACGTAAATTACGTATATGAATTCATAAGATTTTTATGTAAATTTAACTGTAAACTTTAACCTGATAATACTGATTTGATATGATCAAAAACATAAATATATCACTCTGAATGTCCAAAATCCCTCAAAATATAAAATTGTAGTCATCATCAAAATCTAAAATAACTTCCAAAATGATTTTCTTATTTGACAAATAAACAGTACTTTAGCTTCTCTCAGTTTCATATTGGGTCTACACGTTTGCTAAATAATAGTTAGAATAGATGCATTTTTCGTCTAAATACCACTACAATAGTAATGTTTATAGATGTATAGCCATATTTGCTCTCATGAATTACTGTTTTATCTTCTCACGTGTTGTATAGAGTGAAGGAATTGAGTGATTTAGATCGAATTTGAATATTGATAAATCTCAGTTAGATAATATAAACTGAAGTTATCAGCAAACTCTAATCAACTTTCTCCACTTATTGCATAATTGTAGCTATCTAATCTAGACAATATGTTGACAAATCCGCAAAATTATTACTGTCCAAGTGATCCAACCGTGGATAATGGTGCAATTGTTGACGGTAAGATACTCACAGCCTTTAAATAGTCATGAGGTGATGTTTTTATTTTTACATTGCTTTGTTAGGCTTAGTCGGATAGGATACATGCGATAGATAGTTTTACTTAGTTTATAGTTAATCACATGTTTAATATATAATGTTCATAGTTATATTTCCAATTCTATATGTATTGAGCGAAATATATATATGTATATCCTTTAAACTGAAACAGGAAACAAGATCGCCTTTAGCTATAACCATAACGGCAATCCAACGATACAGATGTCCGAATTGGAAAATGTAAACTCATATGTACGATCGGAGGTCAACAATCGTTGGTTAAACGGTAATTCATTCTACAGTATTCGGTTTAGAATGTGTAGTCATGGATGTTTTCTATGCTGCCATTGATACAGTGCGACGAATTTGATATCTTTAACTGATTTAAATATATGGAGAGCTTGTATAGTATCCTTTCTTTTTATTATACTACTAGATGCGAAATGTATATCTACTCATACTCAATATGTATTTAATATTCACAATGCTACAGTTTGTGCGTTCTTCGTACATATATCTTTAAAGACCTTGCTAAAATGGGATAAACAATTTGAAACTTACTCTTTTAATGTTATATTTAACTAGATCCTCATTATGTTGCTGAAATTTCTCTTCCTGGTGAAATTTTCTTTTTCTTCCGCGAACATGCTACAGAAGCCGAAACTGTTGAAAAAGTAAATATAGATTTAAGCATTTACAATATTACTTAAAAAAATGAATAACGCAGCTAAAAATAATGCTCCAGGCAGCAAATTGATTATAAACTTTTAGTTATAATTTTTTTCATGCTAAAATTAAACTATGATGTCAGTCAATGAATTGTGGCATAACGTTACAAAATTGACGAAAAATAAGCTATATAATTAAAAAAAATTATATAATGCACTAATAATAAAATTAAAATTTTAATTCATCATAGATGATATTTTCTCGTGTATCAAGAATATGTAAGGTGAGTAATTTTCGACGCTATTAAAATTGTTGAAAAGTTTTTGTATCCGATTCTAATTCAAGTGTAGAACTAGAAAAGTCTAACTGAGTTTAAATTAAATATGTAGAATGACCAAGGTGCTCCTAATGCTGGCTTGAGGCATATGATGACCTCCTTTCAGAAAGCGCGCTTGGACTGCTCATTACCTGGTCAATATCCTTATTACTTCAACTATATGAGTAAGTTGATTATATGTTATGTGATATATAATTATAGTATTCTGATGTACATTTTGTATGTCCTAAGGTAAGCTAATAATAATAAGCCGTGATAATAAAAATATTTCTAATATACTCGCAACATGCTATAGGGAAATCTATAGATTCAGGCTGTGCTAATAAATTCTTTAGCTACTTTTTAAAGATATTGTTCATAATGATTAATTATGATTAGCAAAATTGTAAATTTTTTTAGACTGTACTTGCAATACTTTATTACTTATTTGATAGATGTTGATTATTAATATATGATTTGATTTCAACATTTTCTAGAGCATGTACAACACATTTCAGGAACTTATAATCCCAATGGTATTCATACAAAGCGTGATTTATTCTATGGTGTCTTTACAACTGCAACGAATGGCGTTGTGACATCTTCAGCGATATGCGTTTATGATGTTAAAGCTCTCAATACTTCATTTTTTAGCGATTTTAAAGCGCAACGCTTCAATGATACAAACTCCGGACCTAAACTCGATGTTGATTCGGCATGGATCCGTCAAAAGAATCCACTTGTAGATCGTTATAGACTATGCAAGCAAAGCCCAACAACCGCAGCTGATGAAGCTAAAGTTGCTTTCAAGTATCAACTCATGTATAATCCAGTTCAACCACTAACAGGCAGACCATTATATGTTCGAACTGGCCAATTTAGTCGCATTGCAATTGATCAAGTTACAGCTAAAAGTGGTGAAGTTTACGATGTCATGTTTGTCAGTTTAGACACTGGTCATGTTGACAAAGTAGTCATGCTACTGGATTCTGCAACACGTAAATTCACGAAAGCTCACAAGATTGAAACCATAGATGTTTTGCCAAGTTATGCTAAGGGCAACAATCGCAAGATATTATCGATGGAATTGCATAAAGCCAATAGCAAATCCTATTTGTATCTTGGTACTGAAACATTAGTTGCCCAAGTGCCACTAAGTCAATGTCAACGGTATAAGAGTTGTGAGGATTGCCTTGGCATAAAGGACCCTTATTGTGGATGGAATACTCAAAGTAATCTATGCACTACTATGCCATCTAGTAATATGCAACATTGGCTACAGCGATTAGATGATAGAACTGTGGACAGTTGCCCATGTGTTAGTAGTTGTTCACTAACGGCGACTTCTGTCAGTTATACTTCGGCAGTCTTAAGCGTCTCATTAAGTGGTACAAATTGCAATAGTGGCGCAGCTTTATTACGAGATAATATAATTTATAAAAATTATACAAATCGTATTACGTCAACCAATATCCAAGTCGATAATCTATCACCTGGTAAATCGTTTACTTTTGAAATGCGTCCTTTTCAGGCGAAAACTTGCGGCAACCTGTGTAATACTAAAGTCACTACTAAAGCAGGTACACCCATTTTAAACGAATTAAGTATTCAAAATAATCGAATCAACATTAAATGGCGAGCTGTTGCTGACCTACCAACCAATAAAGCTATTTATTATCAAATCTATCGCAAAGGTGATAACTGTACTAAATTCATTCACACTACCACTACAACAGCTGAAAAGTCTCTTACCTACGAAGATGGCAATATTCGTACAAATCAGCAATACGATTATTCAGTTCGAGCATGTTATAGCAATAAAACAGAGGATTGCGTTGCAAGTCAATGGAAATCAATATCTACATCGGGTATAATCATTCCAACTGTATCTAGTATTTTTAGTTCTGTCGGAGTTACAAGTAATCCACAAGGTCAAGGTAATGGTGTCAACGTATGGTTATATGCATTTATAAGTACTGCTGGACTACTTGTTATAACAGTCATTGTGGCAATCTATCTACTATGTCGACAATCCAATAAACGTAAAACATTCTATACCGGCGAAGATAGTAAAAATGTAACTGAATTAGACACTATTACCACACCAAATACACCTGCTGCAAGTATCACTAGTACACCAATGAAGAATAATAACGCAAGTATTCAACAGTTTGTTAATTTAACGAAAAATGAAGAACTGCATCGTTCCAACAACAATTTATCCATGTCTACCAGTAATACCTTAAATTCTGTCAATGGTATACCACCTAATTACGATAAATGTATGGATAATCCTAATTTAGCTTATGAATCGATGAAGCCGGAAGATCAAGTCGATTATTCAACTAATTCGTTGAAAAGAGACCTTCCTAAAGCGTACCACAATGGCCCCTATAATTCTTTACCAGCGGAATTTCGCAAGAATGGACTAGATGGTAAACAGCAATCGACAAATGGATATGACAGCGATATCGTTGTACCAAAGCATGGTATGCATACCAATACTTTACCGCATAACATCACTAATCAAAGTGGTCGTGGTCAAAGTAGTGCTCGTAAGCAGTTATTCCATAGTTTACCTCGTGATGCATCATTAAATAGTCAAGATTATAAAATACGACGTCCAAAAAAGCTAGATTTATTACCGTTACATGATGAAGATGAATTATCCACACCTGATGATGAAACTAGATACAATAGTTTAGGTAGACAATCATCTCGTCGAGGCAATGGATCAGTCTATGATAGTAGCCCAAATGATCCACTGCCACCAAGATCACCACGAAAAAAGCAATATGATAGTATGCAATCAGCATCAGAAGATGAAATAAGATATAACAGTATGAATAGACGAACACCACGTAAGCAAAAAATTCTACCCGGTAGCAAATCCCATACCAATAGTCCAGTAGATCCACTTGCATCATCACAAAACAAATTTGGCAGTCTCAATCGTGAAATGAATCGTAGTCGTAGTTATGATCCTGAATATTCTATGGCTTCAATTTATGGTACAACACCTCGCCAGCTATCTGTACAACATAATCGAAATTATGACTATAATCCTTCTTTATCGCAAATACCATCTGATGATAATTATGAACATGGCTATCAATCAGATGGTCGAACACCACGATCAAGACGAGGCAGTAATGACTATCCTAGCTCTAACTCAAGACGTGGCAGTTTAAATCGTGATCCTTCTGTTTCTGGCACAATACCTCGTTCTAAATACGTTCGTGAATTATCAGCTGGAAATCATCGTGGCCCAGGCAATTTAGAAATATCTAGTTCAAGTTCGCATCGTAGTAGTAATCGTTCAGATGCTATGATTGGTAACAAACCAACCTTTATTTAATTGGAAATTGCGATAATATTGTATATAGATGACAAATTTACAGTATCAATTGCCTAATCCATTGCAATGTTCTCTTCATGGTTAACATGTTACTGATGAGATAAATATTATAGCAAGTAATGATGCTATGATACTGCAACTAGTTACTAGTATAAAACGAGAGGAAAGCTATCTTATGAGTAATACTCACAATGTGAATATAAATATTTATATATAACAAAATGATGTCAATGGTTATAGTAGAAGAGATTGGACGGCAATTGAAATTTGAAGCAGAATGTTTAACATAGCTAAAACTTTAATCATGATACATAATCCTTATTAAAATAACAATTTTTTTATAGAATCATTCTATTTACTAAAAGCATATACCGTTGTAAATTTAACGTAATCCAAGGATTAAATTGCTAATAATGGCCAACATCGACTTCGTTTGTGGCTGATAATTCAATTCGATGATTCAAACTGTTACAATTTCTAATATTACTTTAATAATGTCTACCAAAGATCTGCAATTTGATACTGACAACAAACAAATGCTTGTCATTTTTCTTATAATGGATTGATATCAATTAGGCACTCTAATGATATTTTTTATCAATTGATTATAAACTCAATGATTTAACTTCACTAGAAATCATGTTACTCTGTACGCTAATGAAATACAGCTTGTATCGCCATTTCTCTTTACTGAAGCTAATTTATCGAACGTGTATGACTTTCATCTCGTAAAAAGTGACTGTGATGTGGCTGTGTTATTGTATCAACTTGGAATTATTGGCTACTACTTCTATCATGATCTTTCACTCATGGAAATAGTACAAAAACTATATTTGAAAGGTACCGTCAGCTGAAGACTTAATTTCCACTTTTTAACTTCAGCACAAGTCCTTCATCTACCAAGGAAGGTAAATAAGTACAACATTTGAAGCTTCCTGTTGGAATCCGCCTAAATATTTACGATAAAGTAATATCATTAGGTAATGACTCAACTTACTGCTATAACAGGCGAAAATTTCATTCACTATTATTAAATTACTATCAGAAATTTATTGCTAAATTGCCGTATTACTAGATAAGTCCATAATTTGCATAGTTATTCTTTTTTGGATTAACTATGATCATGCTTTGTACCCTTACTTGAAGCAATTTTGTAACATAAAGGCTACCTTTGGTACTCACTATTAAGTACTAAGTACTATAGCATTATATAAAAGTAGCTTAGCTTAACTATGGTGGAGCTGATGATTTAAAAATAACGATTATTATCTGATTGAAATCTACTTTTCTCAATGCATTAAGTTATGGAACCTGTTGCAACTGCTATATTGAAGCCATTCTGTGAATCTATTTCGTCTCTTTTGCGGTATCAATACCATTTTTACTGCTTTAACATGTTGTTTGCTTCGGTTAAATTCTCATTTTGTTGATAAATGACAACTATGAAGAAAATTCTTATTTTGTAAAGATGATAAATTTTATTTGCTGTATTGATCATGTCTGATTGCATTATTACTGTCATTACTTCAATTAAAAAAGGAAATCAATATTTATCAGTTCATCGTCCTGGACAATAATTTGATCAACATTCTTTGAATTTGAACGGTTTAAATATTTAATTGAAATCGTACATTGGATAAAATGTACTATTGAAGGTGAATTCAGAACGATGTGTATAATGCTGAAATATGAAATCATCTGCAATCTTTTGCTGTGATGGCATCTATTTATATGAAATGATGCATTGTTAATCTGCATAGTAACATTCCATTTTTTTTTTAAATATCATCATCATGTAACTATGGTATTTTTCCATAACTTGGATATGACAAGTATTTTGATCATTATGTTTTGCTAACGTTGTTAATTTAAAGTCGCAGTTAGTGAAGTTAATCTGTTGATGTTTAACGTGCACCTGTATATATTAATATGCTGGCCATTCCTGTCGACAATTTATGTGTTGTACTGTCCGATTTTTGTTGCTGTTATTGATATTAGAATTCTTGCAGAATTGTTGATAACATGGTTATAGTTTTAACTAGTTGATGTAATGAGTTACTCTTATTTTATGAGTGCACCTAATCTATCTCTTAATTGTTACGAAATTCATTCCATTCAAGAATCAATCCATTATTTTGATTAATTACTATTGTAATCATTGATTAATTCCTAGATTGAAAAAAATCATTTTGTTGATGTTGTTGACAGCAAGCTAAGCTTGCCATGATTAACGGATAATTTTGTTACGAGTTCACCGGTTTATGACAATTGCCATACATGTTTGTGAAATAATTACGCCATGACTTGGAATAATTTAGCTAAGTTAATGTTCATTATTGTCAAATGCAATACAGTTTCGACTAATATTAATGAAATAAAAATTCGTTCAATGAATTGATTTGCGGTCAGGATATGCTTTTGTAATGGCAGCACTCGAAGAATATCCCACTCTTTATACTTGGTGCTTAAATACTGCTCGTGGAATCCACACTCTTGATACTTCGTTTATTATACTTACGCTTCTTTACATATACTTTACATCCTACTGTAATCTATTTCAAGAATTTCTCAAACCACAACAGTTAAGAGTCTGAGGAGGTACAGTATATCACCCCTGTCTCCTTTTCATCGGGTATATTGTAATACTCACTCCCACTTTGCATTAATCTGTATAAGTGAATCATTTCATTTGAATTCTTGTAGATATGCGGTAAATTATATGTCATTTCATTTTAACTGATTCCTACCAAGGGCCCGTAAGAATTTTCTCTTCTAAGTTCCTGCACCTGCCCTTTAACCTAGTGTATTCACTTCCATTAGCAGTATATGCGTATATATTCTACGGGGCAATGTAAGAATATTCTCTTTAGAGTCCGTTCGTGATTAGTTAGCGGACAGCTGAACGCGCACCTATAATAAAAATAAGAAACTTTCTTTACATAAGAAATAAAATACTGTATTCGGGCCTGTAGCCCTCAAATTAAACTTTTGTATGGATTCAGTAAAGAAAAAAGCTAACCCGACACAAATACTGAGAACACACAGTCATGGACTGCTCGTGGACTAGTAAAAATATTTCGTAGTCCATGACAACGTACAGTAGATCTCCTTTTAGGGTCTGTGCATCATGCTGAAACCCCATACCCGCTGCACTATGGACGACAGTACTAGAAGACTAGAAGAAGACTATGGTTGCATAAAACCGATCAAGCAGTAGCAGATAATTGTAATTAGTCAGTAGTACATTATGATCAGCAAGATAGTCGGCCCTCGTGTTTTTACCAGGGACCACTCAATTAAGATTTCTACCTCAAAAAGCCGTAACTAAAATGATCCAAAATTTTCCTATATTTAACAAACACAGTGTAAGGGGAAAATTTTAGTTACAATTTTTAAGGGGGAAATTCTTAGTTGAATAATCGTTTTTGCTGTACCTTATTGTATGTACAGTATATACTGCCCTTCTCTTTCAACCTTATTAACTTAACTTAATTCAAGAAGTTTCTGATGTACTGCAGAGTCTGATAGAGTTTCATCGTGATACACGGTTCAGTAACACAAACTGGTACTGCGCGCAGTACAGTCACACCAAGGACTTTGAAACAAGAAAATTCATTGACTTACAGTAGACCGTTCAGAATTCTATACTGAATCGTCTCAAACGATAGTATTTAGGGTTTTACTTATTTGAGACGTTTCAGTATAAAATTTTGAATAGCAGAATTCTATACTGAATCGTCTCAAACGATGATATTTAGGGTTTTACTTATTTGAGACGTTTCAGTATAAAATTCTGAATAGCAGAATTTTATAATGAATCGTCTTAAATGCTGGTATTAGGGTTTTACTTATTTAAGACGTTTCAGTATAAAATTTTGAATAGCAGAATTTTATACTGAATCGTCTCAAACGATGGTATTTAGGATTTTACTTATTTGAGACGTTTCAGTATAAAATTTTGAATAGCAGAATTCTATAATGAATCGTCTCAAACGATGGTATTTAGGGTTTTACACTTTTACTTATTGGAGACGCTTCAGCATAAAATTCTGAACATCAAGTTAAAAATCTGAACAGTCCATAGTCCATGCTACTGTACTGTACAGTCATGGATAGACGGACTATTCGAAAAAGACCTACGCTTGGACGGGCAGATATTTTCGGCCTCATCTCGTCGCCAAATACTTCGTCATCACAGTACTTCCGTATGCAGACGATCGATTTTGAATGCTTAGAAGTAATTATATAAGATCGTATGTTGAATGTTATTTAAATCAGTGCCAGTGATTTTAGAAATTACAGACAAGGAAAATCCCTACTAACTAGGCCTTTTTTCGACGGCCACATTTCTCATAGGGTAAAAACAGTCCGTCTCTCCGACGGATTGATGAGTCCACACGGTCGTCTCCTACAGTATTAGTACTGTACACCGGGTAGTTGAGTAGTCCCCGTAAGTACTATACAGTACTGTACAGTACAGTACTTGCAGGGACAGCTGCTTGTAAGAGAAAGTTTCCTTTGTAAGTCTCGATAGAGTACAGTACATCTTACCGTAAAGTTTATACTGTAAGTCATGTGATTGTACTGTACATGCACGTGACGTACCCACATAGCCACCTTGTGTTCCAGCGTTGACTCCAGCGAGGTTTTTCAAACTTGAAATCGACGATCCAACGCCATTTTTGCACTCTTTTGAAGGCATGTTGAGCGTTTATTTTGCCATTAACTAGAGAAAAATTGGCCACTTTATTCATCGAAGTACAGCCAACACCCTACTTGAACCAAGGACGATATAAACTACGGTAAATCGCACGCATACTGGCATTAAACGATCTGTTTCAAGAATCCACTGCTAAAAAAAGGTTGCACTCCGCTGTAGCCTGGCAGGGGTGGATCAATCTGCGGAAAATTAACTTCATCGACTTGGAATAAAAGCTTGACAATGTCTTCGTATCCAAACCCTTTCATGGAATGGCACCCTCTCGGAGAGCTATATTATCGGTATGTTAAATGGTAGATAGGTATCGAATGCGAGTTGAACTACCAGTCTACTCTAAGCACAAATGAACATTATCGCATGATTGATTATGTACTGTACTGTAGCCAGCTGAGTGGATGACGTTATTGGAGTATCGGTTATTCTAAGCGTACACCAATCCAGTTTAATCTTATTCCTAAAAAGGCTTTTACATGCGGTAAAATCAATCTTCATAAAGTAATTAATCATTTCTCTCAATTCTTCATTGCATCGTCTACAATAGTATAACAGAAATATATCAAATGAGCTGGGGAAGTCTCGATTTATCACACTACCGAATTGCTATTGCTCCTCTTGGTGGTCCAATTGGTGAGTCGATATCATCGTACAGCACCGTACCCTACAGTATACATAGTTTTTTTTTCTATTGCTGCTGCAATGACGGATAGAAAATTTGGTTGATTATAATAGAATAAATTGGATAACATCATGATTAATCCACGTTTAGTGCAAAATTCTTCATCCAAATGATTGCAGTGTCTATAGCTGCTTTTCACTAATTGAATAACAGTCTATCCGTCATGTCATAAATCAGTGCAAGCATCAATAGGCTAAATACAATTTCTTTGTTGGTAGCTCTCCTCATTAAAGACAGGAAAGGTGCACCTTCTACAAGGCAAATCATTTCTATCGTTTCTGCTAGTGGCCAGAAAATATCAATTGATAATACCGCTAAGGTGAGTACAACAAGAACGATCAATACTATACGCGTAGCAAACTAATAACATGATAAATCATAGCAATCTGTCCAGCTACAGATAAACTAATTTTGATTTTGTGCTACAATATTGATAAAGGTAATCGAGGGAAAAATTGTTACTATGGGATGGAGTTATAGTGAAGAACTTATTTGTATACTTGATGCTGGTATCGCTTTAGTTTTTGATTTATTTGGTACACAAATTGACTCTATCCATCTTGGACAGGTTAGTAATAAAAGTACAGATAATGCTTTGCTATCCTGCCTCAACGTTGTATACCTAAAAAACAATAACTATAATATTGTTGCTGCCATGTTATAGTAGTTCCAGGATATTATATGTACAGTACAATATACCGTACGCATGTATTGCTATCATAAACAAGTTCTTCTATGGTTATACAGGAAGCGAAAGAAATGAAAATTGTGGATGCTAAACTATTTCTGCATGATAACGTAGCCGGCATAGTCGTACTAACGACAAACTATAGATTTTATACTATAAGCAATATTCAAAACAAAGCTTGTAGACGGTGTCAAGATCCTCCTGGTAAAGATTAGTAAAATAGACAATGATTAAAAAATTGTAACTTTCGGTGATTAAATATAAATGCTATTTACGTAAATCAATCTACCAAATTTCTTTGATACAGGATTGGACTTTACACCTAGTAGTTGGGTCGTCTTATGTATAGATCGCTCAACAAAAATTGTTATTGCCATTAATACCGATCTATATTTAAGCGGTGTAGCAGATATTGTTAAACTGGTAAGCCTCTGCTGTGATAAATTTTCGCAATAACGAACTTGTCAATGATAGGATATAAAATTATAACTAATTCCTTTTTCTCTCCAATGTAGCAACTGCAAGGTATTACCGGACAAATCAATTATAATTCTATTACATTGATGGCCACTTCGACATCATATAAGTATATCTCTTTAATTACCGATACTGGCCACTTATGGATCGGATCTACTGATTTTAGAGTATGTTCTAACATCTCCATGCGACATAAATTTATAACAATACTGTATATCTCAATGAAAATCACCATTGTTTTACGTAAACTGACTTGAGTTATGAAATTGGAGCTGAATATAGTGTAGTGAATTAGCATATTCTTTTAGTTTCATTAATTGTATATTAACCGTTACATCAATTTTAAATTGTAGAATTGTTATGGTATATTCGATACTAATACTCAAACGGTGCCGCTAGATATGATATGGTAAGACTGATTGCCTATGAATAGTAGCTTATACGATGATGTATTTAATCGAGTAAACCTTACGGTATCATCAATACTTAAAGTATGCCTTCACTAAAAATGTAGGTGTGGTGCCGGCGCTGTTGTCTTAAATTGGGGGGATGAACTGCAGATTGTTGGGCCTCATCGTGAAAGTGTTACATATCCTTTCATACATTGACATGAATTGTATTGATATTAATGCCATTTATTAATTTCCTTATGAGCCTTAACTGTTCAAACTTTACCATTAATTGGCTCAGCCTGTTTAACGGCTGATATCGATGGTGTTAGAATTGTGACGACGGATACGCATGAACTTTTACATGAAGTGCCATGTAAGAAGAAAATTTTTTGTTTTTGCACTTTTCGTATTACATTTACATCTTCATAGAACAGTATTTTCAACTTACTGTATATCTTTAATGTCAAATACGTAGTGGAAACCGAAGAAGTATTCAAAGTTGGTTCTGCAGCGTCAGGCGCAATGTTGCTAGATGCCATGAAGGAATATGAGGTTAATAGTAATAGGATAGCCTAATTGAGAACTCTATGCTCACTACTAACGTACTTAAATAATAAATTATAGAAAGGAAGTTCCAAAGCTGATGAATATGTTAGAATTATAAAGACTAACGGTACACTCGGTGATGCAATAGAACAGTGTATCAAGGTTGCTGGATTGGAATATGATCCGCTGACTCAAAGAATGCTTCTAAAGGTATTTTTATTAATAGTTGACTATTTATAAAAGATCACATTCCTGATTTTACTTGCTATTCATCTTCTTAATATAGGCCGCGTCATTTGGGAAAAGTTTTATGGATCAATACTCTCCTCAAAGTTTTGTTAATATGTCCCAAATATTGCGGATCCTAAATAATATAAGACACTACAAAATTGGAATACCAATTACTCTCAAACAGTATCTTTCTAATCCTTGTTCTAGCTTAATTTAAGTAGACGCTATTTAAAATATACCGAATCGATTAAATTACCTTAACATAAATTCTTCAACAGATTTGAGTATTTAACTCTTCCTGTCTTGATTGACAGGTAGGCTGTTTATTATTCCCGTAAGCGATTTCTCTTATCGTCCTTTCAACTAGCCATTAATTATATTGGTATCGTCTCTCTTGTTAGGCTGATACTACGAGAGCATTATGCATTAGCATTGCATATCTGTGATTACCTTCGTATACCAGGAGATGAAGGGAAATGTCGGATATTGTCGCATTGGGCATGCAAAAAAGTAACAACTTAATTGACAAGCTACACTCAAATTACCAACAAGTTAATTCGAAGTAATTTTAATCTGTAATGTAGGTAAAGCAAAAGAACACTGACGATAAAGATATCGCTAAAGCTATCGCAAATAAATTGAACGACGTCACTGGAATTTCGTATGCAACTATTGCTGCTGAAGCGAAATCAGTAGGGAGATATGAATTAGCTATTAAGGTAATGTTGCACTACTCATTACAACATACTTACGTTCACTTCCGTTACCACCTAATATTGCCTGACAGACACCCCTTAACGTATCATTAATAGCTATTAGATTTCGAACCCAGAGCTAACGAACAGGTTCCGTTATTAATGAAAATGAAGAAAGAAGATATAGCCTTAAATAAAGCCATTGAAAGTGGTGACTCAGACCTCAGTATGCCGATTGTCGTTGCCTGTCAGCTTATTATGTAGCCTAATCACTAACGTTGTTATTACAATTTATTGTGTTTACAGTCTATATGGCTATTTTTCATCTGAAGGGTACTCTACAACTAGGGGAATTTTTTAGAACAATCCATAAAATGCCTGTAGCGCTAAAATTGTTCGAAAAGGTAGGCCTAATGTTGTTATCAACATAGTGATGCCTACACATGACTTTGTAGCTATTACGAAAATGTTTTACAGTACTTATGATAGCCCTTGTATTATTGTTTTAGTACTGCCGAGAGATAAATGATCACAGGTTATTAATGGACGTTGCCAAACAATTTGATGACTTTCAGAAAGCAGGAATCTATGTTGCCCAAAGTAGTTATAAGACAAATGTAAGAATGAAAGCATTTTATCTCCATAAGGAAAGCTGTAATGGCCCTAAATTTTACTAATATCTGTATTAGAATGCTGAAGATAGAATTGATAAATTAAATGAAGCAGCACGTGCGTTTAGCGCAGCGGATAGGCCAATATGTAAGAGATCTACCGAAGATCAAATTAACTTGTTGCGACTTCAGTCGGTAATGGAAACTGATCTTGGTCAACCGTTTGTCGAAATGTCTCTGAATGAAACTGCATATCAGGTAATTATAATTCCTAAGATATCTAGCGCTATTATTGTCATCTTGATGATGAATAACTTACCAGACTGAAATATGGTGGATAAAATTTTTATTTACTGATTTAATGAGACTGAGAGATGCTAAAATTCTGATTAATGGAAATGATAGCAGGAGCACCAACTAACTGATTATATCGATACATGTTTTTTACTTGTTAGCTTATCTTTTTGGGTCGACTAAAGTTGGCAGATAAATTAAAGAAAGATTTTAAAATTCCCGATCGGAGGTATACATCAATATAATATTGATGCAGTCTATTAATTGGGATTGTCGTAGGTAAAAAACAAACAATTTTGTGCAAAAACTTTTAGATATTGGTGGATTAAAATTCGAGCCCTTGCGCAATCACGAAGCTGGGACGAGCTTGAAAGATTTTCTAAAAGTAAAAAGTCTCCTATTGGTTATGAGGTACTGCGTTGTTCATACTGTAATATGAAGAAAGCTTAGATATAGCCAATTACTGAGCATGTTCTCTTTAATATCCTCATGGAATCCTGTAGCCGTTCGTTGATGCCTGCATAAATAGCCATAAAAATGCAACGGAAGCATGCAAATATATAGAACGTGTTCCACTCAGTAAACAAGCGAAATGTTACATCAAGATCGGGTTAGTTTACGAAAGAATCTCAGTTTACATCCACTCTCAATAAAATTATTAAAAATGGAATACAGAAATTGTAAAATTTAACTGAAATGTTTTATATATTGTTACAAAATAAATAGGGATTATGATAAGGCAGCCGACTGCGCATTTCAGCAGAGAAATGTTGAAGACCTGACTTTTCTGAGAACGAAAGTTGGAATTAACAATCGTAGTCAATTCGAACGCATTAGTACAATGTTAGTACAACTTAAAGGCTAAGAATATCCACTACATCAAGTCTTTATAGATAAAAATTTGAGAGAATTTTGTTGCAATATTTAAGACTGCATAGGGCATTGCGGAAAGAAAAGATTTATATTGTTATTGCGCTGTTGTAACATTGAAAATCATGTTAATTTCCGATAAATTTTGTCAATTTTTAAAGTTGTAGATAGTGTTGATATTATTCCGCACTGTAAGTATAATTCTGTTGCGATAGCAAATAAGTTAAGATTCTTTGAAACTTTATTTATGAGAATATGCTGTAAGATTATGAACATAGCAGAACAGCGGATTGATTGCATGTGCAAAACTAATCTGGAATGAATAATGATTCACCTTTACAAAAGTTGTTATATTATTCACTCCTGCTGTTGAAGTCTTGACCATCTAAAACCACATCGAATTTTATTTTTATAATGTTTTAATTTCGTTGTAGCTAGTATTACTAGCAACTGTGCACCATCGTTTTAGAAACGATATATTGATTAATGTTGATCTACAGATCAAAATTTACAGTATAAGAAATTAATGTACAAAAACATCCCAGAATGAATTTATTCTGGACTTGATTCAAATCAATATTCCTCTCTATTTGCATTTGCTATGGAAATAAAATGTCTCATATAATTTAGATGAAGATTTAATATCAAATAACTTCGACACAATTCACTAGTGTCTAGTATATAGCATAGACTGAATTCAACTTCGAGCTGAGAAGACATTCTGTTTATAAATACATACGTATAGTTTACGGATTTTTTTACCCTAACACATAGCTACTGTAATTACTGTAGCTGGAATCATAATACAACAATTTCATTACTGTATATCGACAGTACACACGGGGCGTACTTGAAATACTGTCTGTCACTGAACTAATTAATTAGCGATTGCAGCTAAATCTAATTTCCTCTTGACGTAATGTGATCGGCATACTGGGCAAACTTTTGTAGCTTGTATTGAAAATTCTTCAAACGCCTCCAAGCATACTTGATGGAATATATGAGAGCAGGATAGAATGACAAGCTGTTTGCTATTTCCGTTTTTACTTTTGCTTGTGGAAGCTCTAGGCTTTTCGATAGGCGCAATACAAATTGGGCACTCTAAGGTACTCCTCCGAAGAGCCTATCAATCCAACATAAAGAACATATATCAAAAATAATATTTTCAACAAGAGATGATCAATATTATTTTATGATAGCCATTTGCAAATCATTGCCTACTTACTTGTACTTGTATTTTTTTCCATTCATTCTCATTTAAGCGTGCATCGTATGATGTATCTGCCAAACTGGTAATTAATAGAATTGAAAGGAGTTGCAAATATGCTGAGATCTTAACAAGTAATATCATCATCAGTGTTATGAAGCAATAATCATGAATTTACCTCATAATTTGCCGACTAGCAGCAACAGATGAATCAATATCCGCAAGAAAAGCGTCGACATCTGTGTTTACGGATGATACCAAAGTATCTGTGATTTCTGCAAGCTAGATAACAAAGCAAGTATTATTGTGTATCATTGCAAAATTGATGTTATTATCCTTCCAGGATTATGAAATAACAAGAATATAAATCCAACACGTTGGTATGGTCATACCTTTGCTTGAAAAAATTTTTGCCGTAACAAGGGATTTTTTGGAGGCATAGTTCTTCTGAGGTTGGCGTACCATTTTCTTACGACATATCCCCTCCAAGCTGACTGTATCTTGATCGCACATTTAACTCGATTTATTTTGGAACCCTCATAAATAACGCGTTTTTGGTATTCTACCTTGCGACACATAGGACAAGTTTTTCGACCACTAAACTTTTCGTACGATTCTAGACAGGTCTATGGAGTAATTAAAATGCGTGATATATCCACATAATGTTTATGATTCACTCACAAGTAGTACATTATAAATTGTCTATAAATATCAAGATTTATGCTTTTATGTTACCCGATGAAAGACATGAGAGCAAGAAAGCAAAATCTAAATAAAGAGATAAAAGATTTTTAATTCGTTAACAAGGTGAATAATACTGACATAAAAAATGCTACCTACCTGTTGTTGATTTCCAAAGTGTTCCTGACAAATTGGACAGGGTAATGAAGAATCTTGTCGTTCATTTGATTTGTCTTTTAGTCTAGCCCATTCTTCTTCCGTTAAGGGCTTGTTAGGAGTATCAATAATTCCAAATTTTTGTGCTAGTATAAAATGAAAGGTTCAATTTAATTTGAAAATCCAAAATAAGGGCTAACTTATAAATATTAGCTCATGAAATAAAATCTTAATTTATAGTTGTACTTGCTGTGAAGGTACAGATAAGATAACTTGGATAAAGTCTAGATCATATTTACTATATTTAGCCGTGAATAATGACTACATCTGTGAGGATGCAACATAGGTTATAATAGCAATAGTGATGCAATAATGGCACAGATTATATGATAAAGAGTATGGTTTAATTATACTAAATTTCTAACAGTACAAAAATAGTTTTAATAATAAATCATTTACCTAAAGTAAGGGGTTTACTTCTCGATTCGATTACATATTCCTTCTCATGGCTTGCCGTATTTAGTGTCTTTTTAGGTGTCGGTTTTTTAACCCCGGTATCAATCTTAGAAACCGCCTTTGTTTTCCTGGTAGACTTTTTCGGGCTTACATAAGATTTTCTGTTATTCAAGGGATCGTTTAATGATAATGATCGAACAAGGTGATCTTGTAGAGCAACAGCAGTCCACGTAAGGTTATCTTTCTATTAACAATAAAGTTACATTATTGTTCAATTTACAGCTTTAACAGGAATGATTACGAGCATATTCATTAACTATATCTACTTATGCTAGCTATGGTCAGACGAACGCTGCATACGACCTAGCGGTAGAATCATTAGCTGGATTGAAAGGAATTGATAGACTGTCTTATTACTACCTACGATGTAGCTCCACTCATTAATAATTGTCATCATTATCATCAGAACTACTACTATATATTGATCAGTTAGTTTGAGTACGATGTAAAGCATATCACAAGTTCAGTAGCTGTTCCCTTAGATTACTAGGGATCATCAGTTATATAATTATTAATTAATAAACGTAAACTTATCAAACGATTGATAAATTGCCACATTCTACATCCCTATGGCACTTATCTTAATGTCTTTAGCTTAATCAACCCTTTGGTATTACAATCATCCTTTCATACGAGTACTTAGCTATATAGCAGTAAGAAATTATAGGAACAACTGATTTGAACGGCGTATCTGAAGATCATGAATATAGTCCAATTTAAAGCTGCAATAAATAAATAATGTAATCCTATTAAAATCTTCTAACGACTACTTATTACAGCGTATTCTGGCACACGTATGTATTAGCAATCAATAGTAGACAACGTATAGCTGAGCGATTGCTATGCCAAAGACCGACATTTCATGAAGTGAAATATTAACATTAAATTATGCTTTCCTTTGTTAATCTATTCCCAGCTGCTACTGATGGGTACGGAGTCGAATATCTTAATCTAAAATAAAGATAGATAAATTACCTTCTCTTTAGATGGCAACGTACGTGGGGACTTGTTGGACTTCATCTTATTTTAGAGTTAATCATGATCAGAAAGTTTATATTGAATATAAATATATCACTCGCAATGAATTCGATGAGTGATATTGCCATGGCAATCGCATGCGCATGCGTTACTAGGGCCTACTTAAAAGATCATTCGGCAGTCCGTAATTGGCCTTATTTTAATAGAAGTAACTATAGCCTGGGTAGTACTGTATGATACATCAATATACCGTGGTAAACCGCTGGAATTTTAGTAGGTAGAGTACAGAAACTACGCTTGGCAACCCATAGAAACTTTAGAACTTTTGATATAGCTAAGGAAGAAAGTTGAACCTATATTAAGTAATACCTTCTTCTATTCTTCTTGAACACCAGTATATCAATCTTGAATCAGGAAATGGATTCCAAAGAAAGTGTGGAAGCTGCATTTAACGAACTCAAGCTGGAGTTGGATACCTTGCATTCTGTTAAGGAGGTTAGAAAAGGAGCTACTATAGCTTGACAGCGTCATAGTAGTTAAAATTGATTGCTATACTAGGTTCTATCAGCACAATGTTCAGGTTAAAATGTGCATCAGTGTGTAGTACATAATGGTCGCATATGCAACGTTCAATTTGTTGTCCTTCTCGATCTACTTGAAGATTTCCTTCTGTAGCTGATCCTACCCCTATTACTGTATCATACCGAACGAATCATGCATTTGATAGCAGAATAATGAAGTAAACTCGCTACTGCCAAGACTTGCCAATATCGGTGTCTTGCATTGCAGTCTGCAGTTTAATACATTATGCAACATTGTTGGTTTATCCACTTCCAAGCACGTATCGCATAAAGTTAAAACTATTTTCTTGCACAAGTACAACTATAGGATGCAATCTTGGAAAATTGATGTTAGCAGCTAGCTAGTCTAATCCCAGGGTTTAATTAAGATTCAAACAATCACATCGGTATACGAGTATTACTATATTGGCAAGCAGTAAAAGCAAACAAACAAGGAGCTCACTTTACTAAGCTCTATGCAATGTACAGGAATTGGTGCACGTGCATTCTGCCTGCAGGAATGTTGCTACACCGCGCCAAAGTAGATGCAAACTGGAAGAGTTGATATGCACGATCTGATAGCTCGATATAGCAAGCAAACTCCAGACCAGAAACAGTCAGAACGATATCTTGCTGTATTGCCTATCATAACAGTAGAAAGTTTGGATCAAGTTAATCCGAAAGTTCTAGTTTCATGCATACTACGAGCATCCATTATCAAGCTATGTTGCATGCATCCATGCAAGGTACTGTCAGAGTCGTCTATTTTACGAAAAAAAATTTAGGAAGTGGTACTTTACGTAGCTATGCGATAAATTAAGGTATAATCTTATATCAGGAGCCATTACTGTAATCTGACACCTGCATGTTGCAAACTCTAAATTAAAGATGGCTATGTAGATATATTACCCATCACATTGTTTAAGTAGACCTTGACTAGCTGTGTGTGGTGCTCAGATTTTATATGAACGACCGAAAGCGACGCTACTGTACAAGCAAAATTGCTGTAGGCTCATAATTTTGTACATCCTGTACATAAATTTCAAACAAACCTAGTAATTAACATACAGGACCCGTATATTTATAAATATTGATCGTAAACTAGAAGTACATAAATTTGGCATGATGAAAATAATTATGTATAAATCGATTTAGGGACGACTGATATCAGTACTATATTATGTTGTATACAGATATAAAATCGTTTATGAATATTATTATAATTACGACCAACTCCTTAATCAGTTGATACCCTCCTCTTTAACAACCTATAGCAAGTAAAGGCTGCAGTCGATAAGCTGGAAGCAACATCCGAAGCCATCTTTAACGAATTGCAAAACTTTCATCAAAATACAACAGCTGATTACGGTAAGCTTTAAATTACTCGATAATATTCTGTACCTATGTACATTGATATACCATACTTTAAAAAATTTGCGTGCTTTTCTTTAGTTACTTCTATTACTCCTATAATTCACCATTTCATGTCTAGGTGCGATATACTACTCAGTATTATCACAGCCATATTAGCGATCTTTTAAACTAGGATTACAAACACTGTAAACCATAAAGTAATGAACATGGCTGTGTATCTAGTTACAGATTTAACAAATCGCTATTTTTTTCACAATATCTATCAGTCTACGAGTACCTGCGGCTTTGAACCATCTGAAGTTATACCGTGTTCTATTCATCTAAATAGATCGAAATACTTGTGCACGCGTATACCCGTATAATGCTTACCGCCCGTAACGAGGTCAAATTTAAATTTTTTATGACCAAATTCGTATCTATCTTTAGATCACTTTGTTCTACCTTATGTATTCACTTCGTAGCTCACATAGTCCTGGGTTTTGCATATAGGGAATCAATAATTTATCGGTAATATATAGGCAATTACAGTAGTTATATAAAAAACCGAATGAATGAAAATCCTTGTACATCGGCGGCCACCAAAATATTTTGTCCACCTTTGAACCTAATATATTGCAATCTAGATCTTTAAATTACAAAAATTGGCATACTGATGCTTGTACCGGTAATATGAAACCATTTAAAAATCTTAATTTAATCTTCGCTAATTTTAGCTGTGCAAAAACTGCTATATAAAACGAGTAAGATTCTTATTGACATTTCCCTAGCAATGACAATAGACGTTTTTCGGGTTTATAACAAATGTGGCATATCAATAATATTTTTCTATACGATTGTACAGTATTGGGCATATATTTAGATGAGCTGATCCGATCAGGAATCAACTTAGGTAATCTTCTATCATTATATTAGCTAGTGAACAAAAAGATGTAGGGCATCTTAAGTTAATGGAGGTTTTATCACATTCTACGAAGCGTTTAGAAATTTGCCTTAATAATACAACAGGAATTTAATACTACTACAGTACAGACAAGTGTACTCGTATACAGTACATACCATATTGATTCGGATAAAGTGACTATAAAATTTTCGTTAATTCCTTATTAACAGCTTCTAGGAGTACCAAAATTAATGAAATATCGTTTGTCACCTAAAACTTTTCATACCTTTTGAAACGGGGCCCGATCAGGGACACCGGCTTCTAGGGTTCATAATTGCATGGGTTAATTAAACTAAAATTGTTACCTATGGCAATTATTCTGCAACTAAAGTTATAATATGCTAGTGCGTTCATTACTTTCATATAGTGTAAATAAAATAAAGCTGAATAACAATAACATTTTAACTATGACTAAAGGCTTCATGATATAGGCATCCGAAAGTTAAGAATTGTTTATACGTATCTGCAGATTCTATGCTTGCATCGAAATACTTTGTGGATATTTAAATATAAATGTAACAGAAATGGTGGTGCGTTAATTAACACTGACGGAAATCAGGGACATTGGTACATTATCTGTAAAAGTTTGTAGTGTAAATTTTGATAGCATTTGTTACTTAGATATCGGGTATGTAATATGCACGTATAGTGCTATACTGTACTACTATAATGTGCGATTAAGAGCTGTACGGCTCGTTTTTTGCCTCTCTTTTGTAAGTATATGAAAAATGATTTTCTGCAGAAGGAAATCGGTTAAGTATTTCTGTTATTTACAGGGTTGGGTATATCAATATGGGAATCACTAGAGACAATTCCAATATTAAATAAATTCTTCGAATCATACTACTGCATTAATTGGCGAGGTGTGTCCTACTAAAATGTGCAGATATGTTGCCTAGCGACCGAATGAATTTTGTATTAGGTACGCCATACCTACTGTACCCTGTACAATATAGTAGTACTGTAAGTACATAGCATAACGGTCACATCGTTACTGCGCATACTATAGACAGTTATCCTATCCAATTTTAATCTTAGTGGAATATCCAAAACTATAACCTGTAATAATGGATCATGAAAGGGTAGTTAAAGATGCTATGGCGTTAATATCGAATCTATAGTTATATTTGGTAAGGAGTAAGGATATTCTCCTCTAGGAGGGTAAATTTTAAACGATCGACAAGAAAAAAAGCGCGTTAGAGTATACTGTAACGCTCTAATTAATTTGATCGAATTGCCTAAGCTTAGGTAAATGCATAATAGATATTATTATCCTCTTATTGTTTTAATAGAGAGAAAGTTTGCGTCTAATTTAAAAAATTTTTAACGATCCTTTGTCAAAACAATTGCCGTGATAACGACTTTCTTCCATGACCGTTTTAAACATTATCGTAGCCCCATGAAATTTAAATTGATTGTCCTCCTCCGTAATGCGATAATGTAAACCAGAGGGTTGTAGATGTAAAGAAATATAGTTTACGACTGTTTATATCGCACTATTCGCAAGATTGTATTCCGTTTGATTACAATTATTAACACAAGAGATATAAAAAGATCACTGTGTCAATTGTATAATAAATAATTCATCCATCGTATGTACTTGAAAATTTCAAGGATTTCAATGAGTTATAATCGACTAGTAGTTAGTAGAGTAACGACAGTATAATGCCTATGGCATCTAGATTTAATATTGTTGGTTAGATTAACCTCAATTTAGTCAAATCATGACCTATTGTTGCTAGTAATACTTGGACAAATATTTTCACTATTCAAGAACAACAATGGACTCGAAGTTATTGTTAGCTATTGTTATGGACGAAAATATTGCCCGAGGTGAAAATCAATTACGACTTGGACTCGGGTAATAATTGCTGTTCTTATTCTTGCGAAGCTAATACTATAAAATTAAAATAATTGCTAAAATGATTGTCAGGATGACAATCTTGAAGTAGTATCGATCCACATGTTTGTTACGATAGTAAGGAAACGTAATGTTGTTCTACTTCGCCTAATTGAGTAATTTTAGAATCGTTTATCGTATCATAACTATAAGAGATGATAGCAATGGCAATAGCCTATTTCCGTCATGCTTTTATTGACCCAAGGTCAATTAGTCATTTAATGATTGTGTATACACAAGTCGATGGTTCGTTTTACTGGGTAATTAAAATGGTCTGGTAATTGAATACAACGATTTTTCGCATGTATGTGACGGTTGGAAATAAAGGTTAGGCCTACCGTAACTTCGAAAATTTTGTTACTTTAACACTCATTTGTAACAAATCATTTCCACATCGACATTAAGATACATGTACAGTTTTTGTTACATTATAATTAGTCATTCGCCCTATATAAAATCAGCCAAATTCTTCTAAGCTAAATAAAATTAATCAGTATTACTCTTCATATTCGTATATCACGTCAACGTCATCAATAACGTTACTGTTTATAATACACTCAGGACAATATCGTAGTTGGGCGGCTTATACTTGAACTCCATTTCATAAATAGCCTTCACCTATGATTGATTTATCGACTGTAATATAATTTGTAATAATAACATCTTGCTAATGAGTTGTCATCATCGATGGCTAGATTGGTTGTGGGTGGAGAATAGATGATGGAATGTTCAAATAAATATGATTTTTATGTCTGTCGTATATTAATTGGTGCTATTTCCTTGGACTTTCTTAGTGACAGAGATATGTAATCATGCCAGAAAATTATTCTCAAAAGTCAAAGAAGATATAACTGGATTGCAAAAAACTTTTCCTCTATCGGATTATTACAGGTAGAATGAAAGGTGTTATTTTAAGGGCTCAGTTCGACAAAATAAATTGTTTTCGCTGACAATAGACTTATTCATATTATCTCATTAATTGCCTTAATTAACGTGATATTACAGTTGGTTATATTATCTTTCGTCTTAGGTATGCCGATCACTGGCATCACATCATGCAAAATTTAGTATTTCAATGTAGTTTAATTATCTATATGGAAGAAGATACTTTAGTAACGCGGGATCAAGTTGCGCAATTACTGGGAGGTAACCTAATTTACGATATTGTTATTTATGGTATGCTCGCTTTGAATTGAATTATCTGTTATGTATATTTTACGACTAGAAACTAATTAAATAGTTAAAAACTCTTAGTTTAATTAACTATTATGAAGTAGGTGTAAGTTTACAGAACGATGTAGAATGTTTTTGTAATCGGACATCTGGTACTAATTAGTGACGGCATTGCTTAAACAATGTTATAATTTTTTAGTCATCTTAAAACTTGTGATGTACCTCCTGTAAACTAACTGGATATCAAGTTGTACTATTACTGGTCAATAAAGATCTTTTATATTCTATTGCTTAATTTTTACCGTACCTGCCTTTATTAATAAAACTTTAGTAAGTACGGACAAAGCTGATGGTTTCCATATTACCCTCGAAGATTACTTACAAGGAGTATTATTATTGCCCGCGGAATTAGTAAGATTGACAGTAATTATGATATATTATTATTTCTAGCTTGAAAGTTATTCTTCGCCATTCATATTCTAATTATGATTACTTTTCCGTATATTGCAAACTTTAGACAAGGATTGCTGTCAACTGTGTAATCCACGAAGATTATCAGCGACCTATTAAAATAGCTTCCTTTTTGTCACAACTTAATGCTGCTTATAAAATGTTAAATCTAAAAAATGATGCATTAAGGAGAAAATATGACGGATTGAAATATGAAGTAAAAAAGGCTGAGGGCATCGTTTACGATATGAAAATAAGGCGATTAATACCGTCATCATAGACAGGAGAAAAAAGTCCGTCATTCTAATCTTTTTATGGGAATGAAAATGATACAATAATTGATAACTACCTTTGTAAAGGAATCACCTCATTATTATCATCAAGTTTACATCTCATCAATAATTAATTATAATTAATCCACTCCACCATCTCAATAATGACTATTGATAAGAATAACCGCTACTGTACTGATTCGAAATATCCTTATTAGCTATGATGGACAAAGACGAAAGTACGACAAACGCTAAAGTGGAGACTATTTTAAGTGTCATTGCCCTCGCGTTGGTTATATCCTCATTTGGGTAATAAAATCATTCGATATTGATTTATGACCTTTTACTGTAGAAGATAATAAATCAGTTGTTAGCTCATTTCTTACAGCCGCTGTTACAGTTACTATAACTAATCGGAAAATTAATTGCGGTTATGATAATTATCATTGTCATTATTAATATAGTGATAGTCAGAAAGCTTGTTCTTAATATTGTATTGTCTTATCGGATAAATATAACAGTTAATGAAAGTTATTCTAGTCATGACGGTCAAAAATTGTATTTATTTGTATTGTTCTTCTGACTCGCCGCATATGTTTGTTCTCATATCGCTTATGGTTACGTCAACAGTGTAATAGGTGATGGCTCTAACGGCCGTTAGAGGGCATCATTGTCAATAAATGAAAAAGTAAAAAATTCAGTTTCAATTACTTGCTAAGCTTGGTACTTACATCAAAATAATGGGAATCAAGACTGCATTAAAATTAAGATTCAATAGATTGAAATCACTTGAACGCAATATCTTTCTCTTCAAAGTATAGTTAACCCAGAGATTAATTACATAATTTTCATCCTACAATTATCAATAAATGTAGAACAGTACGGTCTCATTTTAAATGCATTCTATTGCTATGCTGAATGTACGAGCTCATATACTGACTGTTACAGAGGACAGGCAACGTTAATGGTTAAAGTAACTTAAAGATGTCATTATGTTTACCAACTTGTTACCGTTGGTTCAAACGACAAACGCTATCAATATAACAACGGGGCTATCGTTCTCTTGCTAATCATCAAAATTAACAAATAGATCAATAGAGAACTATGGAAAGAATCTACTGATTGATTCATTGATTGCAATAACTAATTCGATGGTGCGCGTGAAACAACTGACGTTTCCTACACGATGCATAAAAGACTTGTGTCTTTGTCCTCTTCCCTCACGGACGGTCAGGCTTTGTTATGAGGACAAGAAAACACGCGATGATAATTAATTGATGATACAAAATAATATCTTGGCTCGTTAGGTCCTACCTTACGAAGATATAACAATCATGATAGATAATTAACTTGAAATTCAATTGTATAATATCATTCTGGTAACGTTTGCAATAGAAAATAGCAGAATTTTATTGCTCTGGTCAAAAAAATATTTGATTATTTAGATGTAATATATAGACTAAAATTGATAAACTAAACAGTAGAAATAATAAAAATAGATAGGGTAGCTAATATTTAATGTAACAACTTGATAACCTGATCGAAATCAGGCGATTTTAAGGTTATTGCCAAAAATAGACAAATCGAAATAGAGAAATAGTAAAGATAACCTCCAATTTTTTCAGTCTGAACTTCATAACTGAAAATACTATTATATTGTATGAAAAAAGAAATTTATTCTAATTTTTTTAATTTTTACTTTTGATTCTTTCTACGCAACATTTAATATCATTGTTTAGAATAGAAAATTGACGTAGTCAAATAGATGTAATAGGTCGATAGAGCATATTACGATTATCAAATACAAAATTTGAAATATTTTACCATTTTATTTATCGTTTATGAGTATCTTAAACAATCATGACATGAAGTAATTACAATTTTAAATTGAAGTCAACGTGTATGCTTTTGAATTTCTTTCGTCAATACAATAGGCTAGCTGCGTTATGATGGTTGCCATTAATTAAAAACAGCCAATAATTAGAATGAAGTACAAATTCCTTTTTTTCTGTTTTAACGATGAAGTATGGAAAGGATTTTGCAATTATCAATGCATTTAACATCATTTTTATTATATTAGATCGATATTGTTGATAGCTATTGAACATGAGTTGAAAATATAACGATCAAGTTGGATTGGCATGCCATCATTTAATCGTCATATGAATACAACATTTATTGTTATGGTTATATTTAATGATGATCATTTTTCTATTGGACTTAAATCTCTTTCTTCCTATCCTATATTGGAATCACTGGTTATTTCAATAGCTAGAAAGAAACAATCAGCTATTGAAATTAACTGTCAAAATATGAACAATAACTGAGTTAGTACTTTGATATGCCGATAACAAAGCTACAAGATTAAAAGCTTATCATAAGTTATCAGTCAGGGATAGAGGAACAGATGATTTCAATAGATAACAATCATTTACCTAATACAATCGACATCGATCGACCTATGCCTGTTATTTTCTCCATTCATAGCTATACCATTGACTTAAGAAGACAGATCAATAACTTTTTGCTTTTCTATCGGTCACGGCACAGCTATTATCATTGGCTTTATATTCAAATGAGATGACGAATATGGATAAAACTGACGAATAAGCATCATCAGAATAGAAAAGTAGAGAAAAGGAGAGGGACAAAACAGATCTACCAAAATCAAAGGAATAAAAGAAAGAAAGAATAATTTATTAACCTTCCTATAATACTAACCAACGATAATAACTAATTTAAATCGATAATCGGATAGCTTATGCCCTCTTGTTATTTTTAAGGGACAAGAAATAAATTTATATTTTTTACGATTAAATTATTTTAAAAAGTACCCAATTAAAGTTTAAAACTTAGTTTAATTACGATCAGATAACATAATAACGATCGATAATGATATAATTGATATAGTAATTATATCATTAACTCTTCGATGAATCGAGGCATCTATCTTTCACCTCGTTATTCAATCATAACTTGATGCTACCAACATTGTATTCTACTGTTATTAATGATTGTATTATACTCATTATGACAGATACATCCTACTAACGATTAAAAGCAGTATGAGTATAATTTATCATAGTCTATCACATTGATTAGTCATGTTTTCATTTTGATAGCGGAGTTGATTCAATAGAAAAACAAATGAAAAAAATATTAATGATTATTCATGACAGTCATGATTGAATATGGCCTTCTTTTATCCTCATCTACTTGATGATATACTATACCCTCTTTCCTCTCAATCATTTAACCTTTTTATTATCCAATCTCATGGTAAAAGTCATAGTGATCTAATCATTTAGTTGAATACAGCTTGAAGTAATGTATTATTATCATTTTAAGTACCACTTTCATGACGCAAATTCGTATTCATCGTCACGATGATATTGCTATCAATACAGCATTACAGATAATTAGATCATCAACCTTTTTTATTGATCACTAAATCACTATATGCTAATTGCATACTGTATACTTAATCTAGCTTCAGCGAAATTAAAGGCAAGCATCTATCATCTCACGGAAGCTTACTCAGTGTACTATTAACTAGAGTATTTCGGTCATATACCGCCTGATCGATGATCTTTCCATAATATCCTGCTTGGATATAAAGTTCTTGCAACATTAATTTGATTTAGTATCAATGGTAGCATTTAAATAAGCTTCTCCTGTGTCCTGGAAGTAAATACGAGCGAATTTTACCTTTCTAAATAAATAACCCTTAATTTAGTGTACTCTCCCACAACCGCCTCAAGATTTTTAACAAAGCATAAACTTTAATAGCGACATAACCATTGAAATTCTCTACTATCGCTAATTTATTATTCACAATGAATTATAATTATCTTAACATCAATTTCACTTATCCAAGTTGAACCTATAACATTAAAGCCAATAAATAGCACATATCCGTTTTCACCTTTTAATCAAGATATTTATATTAATATTGCTAGCGTACTTCGAATAAACATAAAGAGTACCGTATTACTACATCTACTCTGTAACTGCTACACACTAAGATTCTACACGTCAATAACTGTAATCAGACCGATTTTACGACGATAAATGAACGGCATCATAAGGAATAGATAATTATATAATATGCAATTAGATTACAGTACTATTTTGATGAAATAACTGATAAATAAGATGCGTTTTATTTCTTGTTTTAATTTTGATTAGATTCATCAACTGTACTAGTCAGCAAGCCCACTAGTTCCTGGCTTGATTTATATCGTTAATTAATTAAACAAAGACAATGATTGGAATAGCATGTATCATGAGTACTACTAGCTAGTTAATTGCTTAGTATCTATTCCATTAATGTCATCTTATGAAGAAGATAAACAGTAATACTGATTTGAGAAATCAATCATATTGATTATTTATGATCGTCTATGGAGCTAATTTGAATTGTTATGATATATCAACAGGTGGTTTTTTTTAAATCAGCTCGAGAAATTGAAAAAATGTCCATTGGACGTCATCACGGCTTGACTGTATATTACTTGAATGTTACATCAAGTTAAGATGCATTGAAACGCCTGTCTAGACTATGCATGTCATTTTCTCTTGCCTATAGCAATGCCACTATTCAATCAATGTTATCTATTGTTTAAAGATATTCTTATCTATTGATTGTCTTTTCCATTATTATTGATTGTATTGCATTGAATAGACTTATAACTATTGTCGTTACCGTTGATTCCTTAAAAGAATGTGGGGTTAGATCAACAAATAGGAGCTCCCTCCCATTGACGACTGGTTATCGCTTGTTTCTCTACGTTAACTGATTAGTATGTTGTTAGAAAAATCAACTTATTCATGTGATACAGGTAGAGTCAACAGGAAGAAAGCATTGAACCGACATTTATAAACATATACACACGCACATACCTTCACATTATTACAAGTCATTGGCAAGGAGCGATCTAGTCAAGCGCAACACTCTATTACATCATTAACATCGCCATCTACCCTCTTGGACTTTACTAGACTGCCT